GGCATCTAGGCTCAGTATCTACGTACACGGTAACCGGAATGAAAATAAATCAATATATTTTTTCCTGTGCTGCCACTCGCTGAAAAAAAGAAAGTCGTACAGGCGCTTTTTCGGTAGTTCCCACCCCCCTTATTTGAGCTTGACCTACATCTAGATCTAGATCTATACGTTTGACTCGCAGCAAGCAAAGATATCAAACCTAACAACTGCAAAACATTAAATTGAGGTAAAATTCAGGGGGGAATGCCCCCTGAAACCCCCCACCATATTTTTATTAGGTCAGGCCCTCCTGAAACCCCCCTACTCTTGGGACCAAAACCGGCGAATTTATATAACAATTGCAGGGTGGGAACTACCGAAAAAGCGCCGTCATACAAGCGTCTTGTCAAGCTCGCCATCATGACCTGTCAGTGAATCTGTACGTGTGCATCACATTGTGAGTACCAGTTGGGGTCACCAAAGTTCATTCAAAGTCTGTGCGCTGCGAAGTATAGGGCTCCAGAATGGGGGGAATTATTGATTTTTTTTTTTTTTAAGGTACTGTCCAGGGACGGGTGGGGATGGCTACACCAGTCACCAGTTACATGACACTGAGACTACGTGCCCGGTTGCCTGTTAACATGTACGTAGATATTGAGGCTAGGTGACCGGTTACCGTGTACGTAGACACTCCGTTGACCAATTAGCCTCAAGGTGTCAGTGTCGTGGGTCAAAGGACACTGTGGCATGGTCGTGATAACTCAAAAACCCGGTAAGAGACATCAGTCAGGTGTTGACAGTCAAAGAATGAGGATGTAGAAAACTGAGTAGGAGAGTGAGTAGGGGAGCTCCGAAAGGAAGAATAGCGGACCACTAGGCACCAGGGGCGCCATAGCGAAAGTAGTTCTGACCGGTGGTCCAGTAAAGACTGTAAAGTACAATCTTTTTACCAAAAGTAAAAATTAAAATTAAAAGCAGGTAATATAATTGGTAGCGTCAATTGCCACCGAGTGACGCGTTGGCATTAGACAAAAATTGACTTTTTGTCAATTGCCACCGAGTGAAGCGGTGTCAAGTCTGAAAACAACACTATCTTTAGCATTATTATACATAATGTGTGTCTAATGTGTCAATTTGTTCTCAACTAATTTCATTGGACGACTAGTCTAGAGCTACGGTACCAACTTGACGTGTTTTCAATGAGACGTAGGGCTAGATCTAGGCTAGCCTTAGCCTACACTTTGCTGTAGAACCAACACAGGCAATTCTAGAAGTTCTAAGGTCACAAACACATAAAATCAAGCAGAAATTCACGTTTTATCGGGGAACATAAATCGGGGGACGGGGGTCAGGAAAAGACACTCACACACACACTCACACACACACACACACACACAGAGGGACAGAGAGGCGAACGCACAACAGCGAGCACTCGAGCACAATATAAGCTAGATCTACCCACCAACGCAAAAGAGCTCCAATTTACTCGGTGGCAATTGACAAAAAGTCAATTTTTGTCAATTGCCACCGCGCCACTCGGTGGCAATTGACACTACCAAAATAATTTAATAAAGGCTGATGTTAGGGGACCGTACGCCCCAATAGCGCTTGGCGCTAGGGGACCGTAAGCCCCCATAGTATTTGGCGTTAGGGGACCGTACGTCCTACCTCTGCGTTAAGGCGTGATGTTACGGGATCGTACGCAGATATGCATGCATCTGGACTTTGCAAAAATACTGGAGGAAAACGGTCACTTTAACGAAGCTCCTGACGTAAGG